CACCATTTTGGTGGGGTCCACCACATGTGAGTGTTATGTCATGCTCTATGTACAATAATTATGTAAAACAAGAATTATTCATCTATTACACCATGTCACCAAACTCTCTTCTTTTTATTTTTCCTCTTCAAGGTTTATGAATAAAATTGTTTTTTTTTTTTTTTAATATTTGAGAGAATTCAAACGTTGCCAAATTCCTTCGTGGAAGAAGGCCACGCGCTAAAAGAATGAGAGTGACGTAGCAACGGCTAGACTTTCCACACGAATGACAATGTTGTTTGTCTCTTGTATAAAGTACAATAGAACAGGATGGTACCTTTTGCAGACATCCCTGCTTCACGCGCCTATGAAGTGCGAAAATCCAACATTCTACCCATATTTATGAATCTGGGACGACGAGAATCGATTTCTTCTCCTGTTTTATTTAGATTAATGCTATTCATGGTCGCTCACTGTAGCAGTCGTCATATGTGGCATACACACGACATGTAATTATTTGATGCATTAGTGTGATAGTTTTTTGACCACATTAATGCATTAAATATACACTTGACATGTGTGTGCCATATAGAACGACTGCAAATACCATTATTCTTTTATTTATCGGTTTGTCCAAAGATTCCATCACGCTCTTCGTTAAAGGGCTCGATAACAATTGGCTCCGTTTGTTTTGGATTAAAATCAATTTTAATATAAGTCAAAGTCAAACAATCAATATTAATAATATCTTTCATGAATCCCACTGCTTTTCAACCACACATTTCAAAAACTTATATCACAATCTACTAAAAATTAATTTTAATCCTCACCAAACACTCACTTAATAATTCTGCTTGAATCATAAATTTTTTTGTTCTCGACTTTAATTGTTGTACTAAATACGTAAGAATAATTTAATTTAAAATCATATTAAAGCCTTACAAAATATAGAATAGTAACTAATTAAATACATAAAATTTTATATTGCATATTAATGAACTTTTTTTGCTTGATAACTCCTATTTATTTTTCAATTTTGTCTAAAAAAATATGTATCTAAAGCTGATGGCTTTTTTCTCTATACAAAAATCAAACTCAGTACCATTCTTTTTTTTTTTCAATGCATGTACCATATTAAGGATATTTTTTAAAGTAATTATTTAATGGTACAATGGTTGATAGACCTTTTTTTTTTTTGGGGAGAAACATATGGTAATTTACGACTATCGTCTAAATTATTATTACTCTCGATAAATGTATTCGCTATACCCTTGAATAATTTTTTTTCGTCAATAAACTATTTCATTATCATATCAATTTCACTAATATAATTCAAGAAATGTTCAACATTTGTCACTTTTAGAAACTAGCTCACGAGATCTATTGATAAAATAATAAATTATTCATTTTTTGATAAATTAATATTCTTTTTAAAGTGAAATTTTTTTTTTCTCAATCACAATATTATTTTTAAAATAATAACGTGATTTCTCTACTATATATTCTATATATTAACTGTGCATTATTCGAATCCATGTTCCAAAAAATGAGTATGTTTAAGAATTATTTACAAACGAATTAAATTGTAAGTAGATAGAAATAAATAAGTAAATATCTCGAATTGTATAAATAAAAGTGGTTTAAATATTTATAAATATCAAGATTTGCTTTAATGCGTCATGCAATATCATCAAATTTTCATACCTAACTACTAATTATTAATTAAACCCATTAATATTGATTACTCAGCACATTAATGAGCAATAAGTAGAATTATAAAATATTAACAGCGAGTGTGCAACACGCACTCTTCTATTAAGTAAATGGGCTGTATGTCTTCATGAGTTAAAACTCAAAATTCAGTCTCCAATTCTGTCTCACTCTGTCACCTTCTTCCTTCTCTCAAACCTCCATTCAACTCTCTCTCTCTCTCTCAAGCCCTCGGCCATGAATAATAGCAACAAGGAAAAGCTGGTGGTAGAGGTGGTGGCGGCGCACAATCTAATGCCAAAAGATGGGGAGGGTTCATCTTCACCATTTGTAGAGGTTGAGTTTGAGAACCAAAAGCAAAGAACTCAGGTTAAGTGCAGAGAACTTAATCCTGTATGGAATGAGAAGTTGGTCTTTCACGTAAACGACGTCGCAGACCTTCCTTACAGGACCATAGAAGTGAATGTGTTTAACGAGAGGAGGTCCAACAGTAGCAGGAATTTTCTTGGAAAAGTTAGGGTTTCAGGGACTGGCATTGCAAAAGAAGGTGAAGAAATGGCTCAGCTTTATACGCTGGAGAAAAGGAGTTTGTTTTCCCATGTTCGTGGCGAGATAAGCTTGAAGCTTTATCTGTCTCAAAATGACGAGGTTAAACGAGTGACTAATGGGGGCGGAGATGGAGGAGGAGGAAGAGGGGTGGTGCTTTCTGCTGGTGGTGGTGGTGCTGTTTCCAAGAAAAACAAGAAAATGCAGCAGCAAGGAGGAAACTTGATGGCGCCACAACAAATGGGCCTGGGTATGCAGAAGCAGGCCCACACAAAGCCATTGGAGCCCACTCCAGGTGATTTCAAACCCGTTGTTATTACTACTGTTCCTGGTCCTGTCGTTCCCCCCGCTGCCGTCCACGGCGGCGCTCACGCCAGTGGTGGTGGTTTTGGTGGATACTCAAATGTGTCGAGCGAGTATGCTTTAAAAGAGACCAATCCTTTCCTTGGAGCCATGAACAAGGACAAGAAAAGCTCAACCTACGATCTTGTCGAACAAATGCAGTATTTGTATGTTAGAATAGTAAAAGCCCGTGAGATTTCACTGTTTGGTGGTGGTGAGATTTTAACTGAGGTAAAACTTGGGAATTACAAAGGGATTTCAAAGAGCGTTTCTTTAAACAATGCCGAATGGAACCAAGTTTTTGCCTTTTCTAAAGATTGTATACAGTCATCTGTGGTAGAGATTTTTATCAAGGATAAAAATAAAGATGACTACTTAGGGGTTGTTTGGTTTGATTTGAGTGAAGTGCCCAAAAGGGTTCCACCTGATAGTCAATTGGCACCACAGTGGTATAGATTGGAGGACAAGAAAGGTGAAAAGGCTAAATGTGGTGAGCTCATGGTGTCAATATGGTTTGGGACTCAAGCTGATGAGGCCTTCTCGGAAGCATGGCATTCGAAGGCGGCTAATGTGCATTTCGATGGGTTGTGTTCAATTAAGTCGAAGGTTTATCTTTCCCCGAAGCTTTGGTATTTGAGAGTAGGGGTGATTGAAGCTCAAGACATTGTTTTGGGGGACAAAAGGGTGTCCATGAACATGGTAAGATATCCTGAGCTTTTCGCAAGAGTTCAAGTTGGGAACCAGGTTTTAAGGACTAGGATTGCTTCGCCTACCCCGGGTCGAAGCCTTTCAAATCCTTGTTGGAATGATGAGTTGATGTTTGTGGTTGCCGAGCCATTTGAGGACTACGTGTTGATTTCGGTTGAGGATCATCTTGCACCCAACGGAGATGAGGTACTTGGAAGGGTGGCTTTGCCAGTTATGAATATTGAAAGGCGATTGGATGAGAAGTCGGTGATTTCTAGGTGGTTTAATCTTGATACTCACTTCAGCAACGTCAATGAGTCCAATGTTGCCGTGAGATTTGCTTCCCGGGTTCACCTTCATGCCTCGCTTGAAGGAGGCTATCATGTGCTCGACGAGTCCACACAGTTTAGCAGCGATGTTCAACCCACGGCCAAGCAGCTCTGGAAGCCCCACATTGGTGTTCTTGAAGTTGGTATTTTGGGTGCAACCAATCTGATGCCCATAAAGATCAAAGAAGGCAAAGGAGGCTCGACTGATGCCTATTGTGTTGCAAAGTACGGGCAGAAATGGATTCGAACTCGTACCGAAGTCGACAGTTTAGCCCCCAAGTGGAATGAGCAGTACACTTGGGAAGTCTTTGATCCTTGCACAGTCATCTCCATTGGGGTTTTTGACAACTCTCGAGTTGACAAGAACATTGTGGCCGGAGCTGGGAGTCGGGATGTTCGTATTGGCAAGGTTCGGATAAGGTTATCGACTCTTGAATCTGATCGGGTTTATACTCATGCTTACCCACTGCTGGTTTTACATCCTTCTGGTGTAAAGAAAATGGGAGAGCTTCATTTGGCAGTTCGGTTTTCTTCTACAAATATGTTCAATGTGCTTCACAGGTACTCAATGCCATTGCTGCCAAAGATGCACTATGTGCAGCCATTGTCTGTGAGTCAACTGGATACTTTAAGGTACCAGGCTATGAATGTTGTAGTATCTCGGTTCAGTCGAGCCGAGCCTCCATTGGGACAAGATGTGGTCGAATACATGCTCGACCGCGACTCGCATATGTGGAGCATGAGAAAGAGCAAAGCTAATTTCTTGAGGCTTACCAATATTTTAGCCTGGTTTGTTGCCATGACGAGGTTGCTCGACTCCTTGCGGAATTGGCACAAGCCTGTTTACTCAACCGCGTTTCTTATCGCCTTCATCATTCTCGTGCTTGTTCCGGAACTCATAATTCCTTGTGCGTTGCTCTCTCTAGCCAATGTTGGGCTCTGGCGATATAGGTCCCGACCCCGTTACCCTCCTCACATGAATACATGGCTTTCCTACGCCGAAAGTGTTAACCAAGAAGAATTGGACGAGGAATTCGACTCATTCCCCACGAGTCGAAGTGCAGAGCTAGTTCGCATGAGGTACGATCGACTAAGGAGCCTTGCTGGAAGGATCCAGACTGTAGTCGGGGATATGGCAACTCAAAGCGAGAGGTTTCAAGCGTTGCTAAGTTGGCGCGACCCAAGAGCTACATTTCTGTTCGTAATCTTTTGCTTATTTGCTGCGTTCGGGTTCTATTTGGTGCCAATCCGGTGGGTTGTGGCTCTCTGTGGTTTGTATTATCTGAGGCCACCCAGATTCAGGAACAGATTGCCTTCAAGTGCTGTTAGTTTCTTCAAGAGGCTGCCTACAAATGCTGATAGCATGTTGTAAAATGCACTCAACATTCATTTTTTAGTCAATTAGGTTTCAGAATTTGGACAATAGGTTTAAGACATCTATTATGCTTAGGTTCTTGTCTTGTCCTATCTTCTGTTTTAATGAATCTTTTGCTGGAATGTGGATGCTAATATTTTTTTCTGTTTTAATGAATCTCTTTCATCGATGCAGCCCACAAAAAGCTGCAAACATGTTTGGCTAAGCTTAAAAAGCACACAATTACATTTTTTTTGAAAACTGAATTAAAACTACTTTTGTAAAAGTAAGTTTTTGAAAGGGTAATTAGCACAAAACGTCCCTACCTTTGGGGTTGATTTTGGAAACCGTCCATATCTTTCATTTCTTAACATTTATGCCCTTACCTATCACTTTTCGTGTACTGAACATCATTTTTACTATGTTTTGACGATTTTAATTTGGAAACCGTCCATACCTTTCATTTCTAGACATTTATACCCTTACCTATCACTTTCGTGCGCTGAACGGCTTTTTCACCATATTTTGACCATTTACCCTCCATTCAAATAAAACAAAAAGGAAAGAAAAATTAAAGAATTAATTGCAGTCATACTCCCAAATTTTTTAAAAAGTTCAAATTAGTCCAAAGCCTTCAATTGGATCATTACCCATCTGTAATAACCTCTACATCATGCATGTTGGTCGAATTGTGTACATTAACATCAATACCATCTCAATTGAAGCCTGAAATTCTTCATGTCGCGACAGGCGCGACACAATCTGAGAAAATTTGCAAATTTGGCGTTGTCCGAACAAATTCCGGTTGCGGACCACTAGGCGCGCAGTGCGCCGGGTGATGGCGTACCTTTCCCAGCCATGGGTCTGAACCAATTGCGCCTGGGACCAGACCAATTTCTTGCTGAAGTGATGAACTTGTGCAAAAAATTTGGAACGAACCCATTTGATGAATCTATGTTGCTCCACCTCTTCAATTCGACCAACCAAAACTCAATTGATAATGGTAATGCTATGGGTATTCATCAAATTGCATCAATTAAAGAGCCTACAACCGGATTTGAATCTGCCCCATTACCCGAGAATTTTTCAGCTCCAATTGAAGGTTCTACCACGGTTTTTGCTCCAATTTCAACCCATATTCATGAAATTGAGGATAATTAGGTTATGGGTAATCTTCCAATTTATGGAAACAAGAAGCAATTGGACCCCAATTTCTTGCCCCAAGTTACGACAGTTGTGATGCCTTTAATAAGGCTTTGGACTAATTTGAATTTTTTTAAAAATTTGGGCGTATGACTGCAATTAATTCTTTTATTTTTCTTTTCTTTTAGTTTTATTTGAATGGAGGGTAAAATCGTCAAAAAATAGTAAAAATGATGTTCAACGCACGAAAAGTGATAGGTAAGAACATAAATGCTAAGAAATGAAAGGTAGGGACGGTTTCCAAAATCAACCCCAAAGGTAGGGACGTTTTGTGTTAATTAGCCGTTTTTGAAATCAAAAATACAAAATTCTAAAAAAGCTAAAACATCCTTGGCAAAGCTCAACAGTCAGATCTGATTCAAGCGAAAACCTGGGAATTTTCTACTCTAGAAAAGGCAAGGATTCAAAATCACGAAGAAATAAATATTGTTTTAAGACAATTATTGTAACAAAAGAATCAGGATATCGACCCAAAAAAAACCCATAAAAAACACGAGGAGAAAAAGACCAAGTCGATGACAAGATATTAAGTTCATCTCACCCATTGCATCAGTGCCATAACTTGGGAGCTCTACTGTAAAAAAGGCATCAATCGAGGATCTGAGCGATGTGGAAGACCAGTTCTGGCTCCCAAAGATCTGCACCCAATTGCAGCCTGCAGTCGAACAATGCTATGACATAATGAGTTTCTCTTGCAATCAGACAAGATTCGAAATCTTTCAACTAATGAATGGAAGTTTCAATATTCAAGTATCGTATACAAAAGAGTTAAACTGACCACTTGAGCAGCAAAAGGCAACATCTTTTCTGGAGGCATGTTGGCAAAAATAGCTACAAAATGTTTTTACAAGAGTGAGGTATATCATAGCATTAAAGACCATAAACCAAAATGTACACAAGAATTTAACAGCATTTGAGCTCGCCAGGGCACATTGAATCATCAAGGGGTTGTTTGTAAATCCTCAGTCGCTTGTGTCAAAGGGAATATAAAATTTAATTTTCCAAAATGAACTATGTTATCCTACTTTTTAGAAACTAAGACCATAACCCCTCTCCCTAGCCAAACACAAGCAAAAACCAAGATAATATGAAATCAATTCACAAACCATAAACAACTGCTCCAATGAATGAATCACCAGCACCAGTTGTATCAACAAGTTCCGAGGGTGGGATCTTCTCAGCTGTTCCCAAAAGCATCCTGCCACTGACAGTTCCTATCCCCTTTGCATGCAATTTTGCCACGCCCTGGAAGACAAAAATAAGATTAAAACGTTATCATGATTCAACATCTCAGATTTTGTTAGCACTACCAAATAGATATGAAGACTTCCAGTTTCGGAGATAACCAAGTGATAATGTCAGTGTAATTTTCCATCAACAATCAAAACATACATGTTTGATTACCAATTCAGAAAACACAAAGAATAAATACAAGTATACAATAATAAAAGGTAATGAAGTATGAAAATGAAAAAAAATCTTTGGCTACTGAGGGCTATCATCTCTGGACAAGATATTCAACTTCATAGCAACTTAGCTCCGAAAGCAAAGTCAAAACAGATGGAGAAGGAGAATAAAGAATGGACATAACAGATAGCAGATATATCTAAATATCATTACTACTCCTTCATCATTTGCCAAACTGTACGAGATCTCAAAATTAAACAGCATATATGCTTGGCAAAAATGATCAGAATTTTCAGAGGCGGTTGTACTGAATCTGTACAAGTAATGCGTATGACTTTTCAATCTTCTGAATATTGACTGAGGGAGACAAGGGTGTGCCCAACTATTTCCCTTGAGTTGGGAACATAAATTACACTATTTGCCACACAAGTTTCGACAAAGTAAAATGTATTTTATTTTTAATCTTTAAATTAATATATTGATAGCAGACAGAAAAATACCCAGAAAAAAATTGTATAACTAGTCAAAGGTTCTCTCACTTTGAGAGATACAGTGATTGCAGATGCTTTAATCCCATATAGTGACAGGAACTCAAAATGATACGTAGCACAGCTACTTGTGCATCAAGCTTCTATTCATCAGAACTGATTTCTCAAGTTTGTGATTTAGAAAACTTGAAGCTCAGATCACTTCTTTTATTATTAATGCGTGCATTAGAGCCACTGTGAACATATGAAATCTTCCGAACAAGACAAAAGTGCCCAAAGAGCTATAAAAATTTTCAGGGAACCAAAGGGCAATTACCGATGGTATGCATATAGGTATGGTTGTGTTATTATCCTTTTTGTGCTTCAGTATCTCCAATAAATCATCCACATCCAATTCTTCAGACTGAACATTTTCTGCCAAAATAAAATTCCAAATAGAAACGTAAATACAGGGAACATATAATACAAACCAGTAATCGTTAGCAGAAGAGGAATATACATACATACCACTCACACACCTCTCTAGCATTAGACAGCCCTCTTCACCTAATGTGACGATCACAAACTTGATACTTGGCAATTTTAAAAGCATGGATACAAGTGCACTAGGGACAGATGGAGCCTCAGTCCAAGCCTGTCAAACAAAATATGATCAACTAATTTCACCATTTAAAACCCACAGAAAACAGTAACATTGACCTTTGAAATAATTTGGATCTAATTTAAATAATATGACCTCATTGTACAGAAAGATGAAAAAAAGGAAAACCTTATACTAATTACACTCCAATGTAGAACATCGGCGTCTTTGAGCTGTATAATATTGTTCCATCTCAAATTTGTCATCTTTTACGATAACGATGATGACTCTACGAGATAAAGAAAATTAACAATACGAAGATGCTTCTTTTTCTAAAAAGAATATGATGGATGAGAATATTTTGATTCCGATTGAGATCCATAATTAGGTTCAGTTACATATCAAATCTAAAAGATAGAATTGGAGAGTAACTGTTATAAAATAGATCATGAGAAAGTCAAAGCTTGCCTGTGGAAATTTTGCTGAGCATATAGCATAGCTAGATAAACTCAAAAGATCATCCAGCCCTTCCCTCTTCCTTTCTGCCTCAGTCAGAATAGGAATGCCCCTGCGAGTTGCCTGCACTGGCAAATCATGCACAGTGAAGTTTACTTTTAATCTAAAATTCAATTAATCAGTGATAATGATAAACACACTTAATGGAAACCAAGCCATGTGATTATCACCTCTTTAGCTATAACTAGAGCAGTTTCATGTAGTCTTCCATCAAAATAGACTAGTTTTGCTCCATCCAGTGAAGCTAACAATTTCGAGTTTGTTAGATCATCAGGTATCATGGGAGGGTATCCTGGAGTGTGAATACAAGTTCGAGTTTTCCTGAAATATCATCCAAGGTTCATATTTGAGAAGAAGAAATTTTACACCTTTTTTTCTAAAAGCAGAAAGCTTCGAAAAATATGACCTTTCAAGTTTGGTTTCTCAAGTGCTTGATGTTATTGGATAATAAGTACAAGGAAAGAACGTAGAGCCGAAGATGGATCCTGAACTATATTTCATTAGGAGAGCAAAATATGCTGTAGTACTCTTTGACTATCAAAGTACTAATAGTTACTACTGTTGTTTTGCGGGTTCAACTCTGTTTTCTACGAAAAAAATATTGTTTCTACGTGTTAGATAGTATCGTAATTTACCTTTCTTTGTTATGGGATGTTTGGTCTTTTCTTTTGTTAGGACTACAGTCTAGGGTTTCACGTTTTATAAATAGTCTCTTCGTAATGCTTTCACATCATTGAACAAAGCTTCCATCCTGTTTAACACTACGACCTTGTTCATAAAAGCACAGCTAAAATATTATTAGACCATCCGCTGAAGGCAAGTAATTTGCATAAAGTCACTAATCTCAATAACACGACATTTATAACTTGAGAAAACATTTAAGTTCAGTGGTATGATTATAGACAAGTTACAACTCCAGAATGATGGGCTATAAAAGCAAAAATTGAAGAGAAAAAAGTTACATCTAATATGGAAAATCAGATAAGTCGTGTTACCTTATGGGACCAAAAATATCATTAAAACAAAGCAACCAACAAAGCAAAAGCACTCACGTTTCATCGTCAACAATTATATAACTGAATGGTGAATTGCCCCCTTTAGAGACCTGAAAGTAAGAAAATTGCATAGAAGATTATAATAAGTAGATGTTATGCTGTGAATGGTTGTAGTTTCATTTCTTAGTCTATACTTCTCAACATCTCTTGATTATTCTAGTTTGTTATAACAAGTCCAAAATTGGTAAAAGGAGTAAATAACGAAAAATCGTTAACAAAGGTGTGTTTCAGGGTACAAGTGTAGTTCCTCTAAGATAAAAACAGAACAAGTTACCTACCACAATAAACGATGAATCAACACCATCAGCCTCTAGTTCATCCAATATTCCTTTACCTTGAGAGTCATCAGCAACCTAGTCAACAAATGGCCACATCAAAGTTGTTCATGGAATTTAAATTTTTTTATCCGAGCAATCTAATAACTCTAACAAGATGACCAAATCACATAAATCTCAATACCTTGGAAATCAGCCTTGGATTTAACCCCAAACGAGCAGCACAAGTCAATGCATTTCCTGCATTTCCACCTCCTTGAATCTATCCAGCAAAAACACACACCCAAATCAATGAGTTTCCAGATTATCTTGGAAGTAATTCGAGCACAAGAAGCACGACATCTTGAGTTTAGGAAAAAAGGCAAGCACATCAAATAAACTGGTTCAAATTGATTACTTGTACTTTAAAAAATAAAGAACTGTTCGCAGAAGTACTATTTCAGTCAGTGTTTGGAAAGATACTTTACTATAGTATAGTAATTCAATAGAAATTATAATATCAAACAGTACCTTGGCGCTGGTGCTTCTAATCTTATCATCTGGCTTCGGATAAGAAGCCACTGCTGCCAAAAAATCAACCGACACTGCTCCGCAACCCAACTACTTAAAATCAAAAAAAAAATTCAATCCACCATAAGATACTGGAAAGTGGAAACGGTACAATATTACCACGCGCACATTCATTAACACGAAGAAGCCGTACTCACAACAACGCGATTTTCAGGGAGAGGAGGCAGCGCAGGACTGGATGAGGACGACATTTTGAACCTTTTCAACAATAATAACAAAAAATAGCTAAAACCTTTTCGATTAACTTCCGCTTAAACAGCAATAGAGCATCTCAATTCGATCTTTACAATTTTTCTTATTGATAAGATAAATTGCTTCAAAATCAAAGCAGAGAATTTAGTAATGAACTGATTTAGCTAGGCTTTGGTGTTTGAGAATAAACAATACCTGTAGGATGAAGAAGAATGATTTGGAGATGGAGAAGATTTCACTAGTGTCGGACTTGGAAATGAGTACGATATAAATGCTGCCATTTTTATTTGTTTTGACTTACGGTTATGCTGAACTCAGCTGAGTCAGAGTGGGTGACCGAGTCACCTCGTTCGAGCGGCTTCACCAATGGAGATAAATTGGAGAAAACATGGGGGAGAGATTGGCTGTGGCTTAGCAATGGAATTCGTATACTTTTAGGAAAAAGTGCAATTGAGGTCCCAAACGTTTTATTTTTGACACTACCATCCCAGAAGTTTGCAAACTTTGAATTTTAAGTGTCTAATAATTCCTCAATTGACCAATTATACATCGTTTTAACTTTCGATTGTTTATTTCTTATGAAGGAAAAAATAATCTCTTCACGTCTTAACAAAAATAAAACCTAATGCCATCGACACAATTGAGTTGAGCCCATTGTTTTTGCCTATTAACAACTCTATTTAAGTTGAAGTATTAATTCAATCACCAATGAATAACCAAATGTTAATTGATTGCACATAACCCTTGAATATCCAACTTAAAACTAGTTTATATTTTAATGAATTTTGATTAACAAAATTAGAAGCCTTTGTCCCCCATTTCTATGCCTTTTCCACGAGTAAATTGAAGTCGAGTAAATTTCAAACACCTAAACTACGCCGAATGGTCCTTCATTATTGTACACCTTAAACACACCAAAAAGAATCTTCAAACTTGGCATTGTCGTTCCAAGGACGTCTTGAGAGGAGCCCACCATGTTCACTCATACTCCCTCGTAATCTGTAAAAAATCAGTTACTCGTGACTATCCTTAGATGACTAGATCTATTGCCGTGCCTTATTGGCAATGCAATTCCACCCTCGACTGAAATTGAATATTGACTAATGTTTTCTAACACTTTAAGATGATCTGAACAATAAACAATCGTTATGAAAGATGAGGTGTGTCCATATGTCAATCGTGGGGTAATCCCACCCGCATTCCACCAACTGCTATTAGAAGGCACGAAATTACCTTTGAAGTCTGAATCACGAGCTAAAGACTCCTGACTACAAGCATCCCCACAAGGCACACTCGTGTTGTCATTATAAATGAGTTTGAGGGCTTGAACTACTTCTCTCATGAATGATCAATGAGTCACCTCGGACGAACACACATGAAAGCAATGGCAACCACCTTAGGAGGTTGTCTCGTATCCACAGGTTTCCTTCCTGAGAGAAGCTCTAATAGCACAACCACATAACTGTAAAAGTCATTTTCGACAAGTAAACGCCCTGCCATTGCATACTCTGGAGCATCATACATGCAACCACGGTTTAAAGGTAGAACATTAAAAAAATGAGATACATTGCTAGGCATATGAGCTAGGCATATGATTGAGTCCTGGGAAAGTAATGCAAATCTCATGTAATACCACCAACAGAAAAAAGAGAGAAATTGATCACAGGATCAATTGTGGAAAATCAAGTGGTACATCCCAACTACGTTGCACCCACCAATCGACTCCCCCACGCGAGACACTAATTTATTAAACCAAATTCCATTTTTTTTTCAGCAAAAAAACCATACCCAAAAGTTCCCATCACACAAGGAGATATATGATGACTTCACCTTGGGCGTAAAATCTTCTTCTAGTAAAACATTACTGGATTTGAAGTCTCGAAGAATAACACGAGGATTAGAATCTTCATGAAGGCAAGCCAATCCTCTTACTGCACCTCTTCAACCGTGCATCCCAATCAAGTGGCGCCTTGCTCTTTTCAGCACCTGAAACGTCGTCAGCTGTAGGATCGAGTCAAAATTTCAGGCAAAATTGGTTCATTCCTTCTTAAACAGAAGGTGTTTCTTCTATGTTGGGAAAATTCTGATGGAGCAGAAGCAATGAATTAGATGAATCATATTGAAGGAAAAGAAAAGTATACCATGTAAGTGGGACTCAACACTGCCATTTGGAACAAGTCAACCTCATAGACCAAGCAGCGTGTACGTTCTTCAATGCATATACCAATAAATTTCACGAGGTTGAGGTGGTGCAATCGGCTTAGCATCTCAACTTCAGCAATAAATTCACTTCAGTAATTTCATAGCTACTTCAGTGGCATCTTCCATGATCCCAAAGATAAACACGTCACGTCAAAATCCCCCCTCACCCAAAATCCTTTGTGAACTGAATCTGTCAGTGGCTTTCTCCAACTCTGTAAGTGCAAATGTATTAACAGAGAACAGATATAGGCATGGTAGAAACAGGAGATGCGGTTGTTGAACAATGATGCTACAATGCCATAATCTTTGACATAATATCACATGACATTCCATCATTGAACTATTTTAAACACTGTCAACTTTTCTATTAAATCATCTGCTGTCACCTCTAATTATGTCATAACATCCGCTATATTTCTTCTGATAAAGTTGTAAAATCCGATGTTGAATTGGCTGGGCTACTAAAGCCAAGTCCTACAAGTTCAAAGAAAATTCAAATGCATATAAAAGCTACGACACTCCGTGTGTTTAAGTGGTGACTGGTGAGGAACTAATTATTTTCCTTAGAGGTCCCCAAAAATTTTGAATGAGAATTTCAAAATCCAATCAACCAGGTCAGTGGTTTAATACTAAATCTGCCAGTTAACTCAGTCAAAGTCGGTTTTTAACTGAGTTATTTGCATTTCTATCAAATTAATCCATCCAGTCCGATCAAGGGCCAGAGTCGCTGATTTTCCGATCCTGCCGAGTTTTATAATTATGCTTCCCACCATAAAGTTACTTCTTGGATTATCGTAAAATGGAAAAACGTGAGATAAAATCGACTCATAATTTATTAAAACATAAGCATCTTTCTTTCGAGTGATGCTATGGGTACATTATTTTTATCCATGGGAGTTCACATAACACTCACATGGAGTGTGGTCCACATTTTCATTATGGTCAAAAATTATGTACCACTAGTGTAATCATTTTCTTTTTGTCTTAGTAATGCTATTTACCATTCACAGTCTAAGTAGTTGCCCTGATGTGTAGTACTAATGAAATTAGGCTATGTTCGGTACAGATTAAAATTCAATTTTTAATCTAGATCAAAATTAATAATTAATATTAACAACATGTTTTATAAATCCCATATATTTTTTCAACTATTATCAAAATTTATTAAAATTTTGATTTTAATACTCTCAAAATAGGGGTTAACTAACATCATTCTTTTTTAATAATTATTGTGCTAAAGTACATTAATTGAAATTTTATTAAAAAATAATTTGAAATGCGATATTTTTTCACGTGGATCAAAGTCCAAAATGTGTATCGAGGGATCTGTTACTTCATTTTGAGACAGAACAAAGTGGTTCACAGGCTCGTATCTTTTGCTATCGTGAATGTATTGTATAATTCATTATGTAAATTTTGATATAAATACAATGAGATTCTAAATTATTCCAGATAGGCAAATTGCTTTTTATCTTGGAAACCAGTGCGATGCATCTCTAAAATCAGTGATAAATAGAGGAAAAAGGTTTTTAAAAAAATCGGAAAAGGAAAATGGCCGCATCGAGCGTGGGGAGCAAAGAAGGGTCCACGAAGACGATAGTAGCGGAACAAATCTCTCAGTCCGTACAATCGACCTCCAATCTTCTCCATCTCATGCTCCAGTCCTCTCCCTCCCATGTTAGACCATTTCCCTCACTCTGCCCCTTTCTTGTTTGTGTGTTTATTTGTGACCTGTGTGTAGGATGAAGTTGATCATTCTATCAATTTTTTATAATTATTTGGTTAATTGATGTTTATTGTGCATGTATTCTAGTCTTGGTAAATGGATTGGATATTTTTTCTAAGTGGAATCCGTGGCTAATGAAGTTTAGTAAAATTGATGAAATGGAGGTTCTTATTTTTTTGTCTGTTACAATAGTATTGAAATTGTAGTTCCCAAAACTAGTGATCATTCAACCGTAGGAACCATAGAGTACAACCATTGAGCATTGAAAGCCCTCAACAAATTATGTGTTTTGAGACTTTATCAGAACTTGGCAATACAAGATTTATGGCATGTATTATAAGCTGCAGTGGATGGGCTTGGGAAAAAATATTGAAGAAGATTAGTCTCTTTTTCTTATTCAACAGTACTCAGTTGTCTAGCAATGTGTACCATACTTGCACTAAATGTATTTTCTTATTAGTAACATACAGTAATTCTTTAGGTATTCTATTTCAGGTGAGGTGAAGGTTTACATAATACACACGAATATATGATGATAAGAGTAGTTGTAATGAGGTTGTCCACCTAGAACCTATAATAATGTTTCACATGTACTACATTCCTATCAAGACATTTATTAAATACCGTGGAGTGGTTTTTGATAATTTAGTGGCACGACCTTATTCATGAATTCAGTAAAATGTTGTCCAAGGGACACAAAATGGCAAGATCCTTCAACTATTAAAGATAATGGAGGAAGTATGCAGTAGGAGGCAATTGCTGTGATATTTCCCTATTTTACAATCATTTGTATTTTATTTTGTATAAATTATGCATTCTTAATGCTAATAACTCATGACTATTTTGCAAATCTTTCTTCGAATTTTCACCTTAAGGAATTTTACTTGTTGCTTAGAAAGGTTGCTTGTTAGCTCTGTAGATTAACTTTGATATAATGATAGAATCTGCATTATAAATTATATACTGTATTTCTTTGCAGGCCCAGCTAATGAAACTTCCGAAAAACCTTTTGGCTAAAACCTCCACAATAAGAAACACAGAGTTGGTAATAATGAGCTTAAATTCACTTCAGAAAATGATACTATCTTGACTCTTGATCCTTACAATCCTTTGTGTTTGATACAGGTGTTGCAGCAGATGCCTCAGGTAATTTCATCGTTGGATGCACATGTGGAAAGTGGATTGCAAAGGTATCTGTTGTATTCTGTTTACATATCGGAATAGCATGTTAAATTTTCACCTGGTGTTTAGCAGTTTGTTTAACAACAAAGGTCTGACTTCAAGGAGAAAACGAGTGAAAAATATAATTAAGGTTTCTGTTTGATGCCATTCATTTGATGAATCATTAATTAAAAGTAGAAAACCAGGTGAATATAGTTAAGACCCGAGTTTCAGTTAAGGCCACTGCCATCATCTCTGTCTGCCTTTGCCTGTCTCCTTAAAGGTCCTATTTTTCCCTTTTTTGCATTTTCTTTTCTATTTTTCTTCATATGATACATTGGGAGTTAATAACTGCGGTTATGATTTGATATTTTTGGCTTTTCGTTGTCAAGTTATAATATGTTGAATTTCTTTTAAAGTGATCGACTTGGTGATGATTTTTTGGAATGATTTCATACTGTGGAGACTCCAGGTTTTCGAATTCGATGATAAACTACGATTTTTCCTAGGTTATCTTGTGATTTTGCTAGTGTTGTTTGTAACTATTATGGACTTGTGGCAGTGACTGTACAATGTTTAGGCTGTTGATTTTCCTTGGACAATTCTAACTTGTGGCCTAGAGTTGAAAAGATCATTCCACCCTGATTCAAGTTAGAATTGTATTATAGGCAGAATGACTTTTCCCATTCTATGCATTTGTTAGTTTGAAATCCAGAGTTGTAGGTATTATAGACTTGGATTTCATCTTTAAAAAGTCAATCTTGTCAAGAGGAGTAGCTCAAGCCCTTGGTTAATAATTCAGTATAATAATCGATATCTAATAAATAAGAACTGTGTGTTCTATGATTTAATTTATAAGCATTCCATGAACCGACAGGGGCTTAATTGTATGCTTTCCTTTCTTCTTTTCGCTTTGCTTACTATCCAATTCTTGCAGTGTACCTCATCTGAACACTGTTGTCCAGTTACTTTCAAACATGGAAACCTGCCAGCTCAAGTCTTTATCCAGAGATCAGCATACTCAAGAGGTACTATATTATATACACACACAGAGACACAGACCCAAACATACATGTCTTCATTGAGGGTTTCTTGTTTATGGTTCTTTTGTTCAGCAGGCACCTGAACCTGTAGAGCAGCATTCAGAGGTGGCCTAACTATCATTGGAATCTCTAGCTATAGCCCTGAACTTGAGCAGCTACTATGATCCAACAACTTAATATGTAAATGGAGTGCATGAGTATGACTATTGGTCCTTATTTGTCAATATGTGACTTTTGATTTCAACTGTGAAAATATTTTTAATCCTATTTTGTTGGCAATGAAACCCGTTCTAGTGAAGTTGATGGTGATTTAATTTTGTTGAATAAATATGCAGAGTAATTTTATTCCCGGCATATTTTGGTCTACACAAGTACAAGAAGCGAGTCTTGCAACCTCTGCTCAAAAAGTTTAGTACTATACATAGTGCTGGACAAAACTTCTGAACCGAACCGAATCGAACCGAGCAGTTCTTCTTAAATTAGATACCCGAACGGGTATCTAATTCAAGAACCGACGGATTTGGTTCGGTTCTCGGTTCTAAACCTAGAACCGAAAAATCAAATAAGAACCGAATCTTCCAAATTTTTTTAATTTTTTTATCTTAAATAAGTCAAATTATTTTATTTTTTTTACATGAATTTGCTAACTAATTAATTTAGTTCAAACCTAAAATATGATTTTACTATTTTCAATTTTCAGCCAAACTCAACTTAATCAAAGTGACCTAAATTTTACTCAAATCTCTTATTTTACTGTAGTATCGTTTCTGCCGTTCTATTATTGTGAACTCACTACTTTTATCTTCTTGTGATTTTAACAGTTATATGTATGAAAAACTCAACAAAGAAATGTGCAAAAGATATCACTAGATTGGACTATGTTATTTTGTAAGAGTTAAAATTGAACATGTTATAGTTGAATTAATATATCATTGTTGTAAATATAAAAAAATTTAATTATTGTACGGAATTTGGGAACCGAATGGATTCCGAAAGGTTCCATAATTAAATTTGGACCCGACAGTTCCACTTTCTAAATACCCGAAAATTGTGGTTCGATTCGATTCTCTTCAGAACTGAATCGAATCGGACCATGTCCAGCCCTAACTACACACCAAACATTTTTCTTTTCTTTAATTGTCATTTTCACCTAATTGAAATTAAAACTTCGCTATAAGTTTGATTTCTATGTTTTCTAAGCTAAGTATTTCATGACGCTTGTTTTTGTAAAATTACACAGAATGTATGTTATTGACGTTCAGTTGCTAGATTCTAATTTATTTTTCTTTTACAATATACATTTTCGAATAAAACTACACTTGTATATATCAAAATTATGTTCCCATTTTAAATTAGTATTTGTTTCTTCCCTAGAACTATATTTAGAAAACATTATAAAGTTTTTTGCACATTTTGATTTCATAGGCAGTTTTTGAAAAAGCGTAAAACATTCTAAAAATTATTTAATATCTAAAATAATACACACAAAATATCAAAAATTATAAAATACTATATTTACTTAATAATTCATACAATTTTTGAAATCCAAAAGCTAAACAATATTTTTCATAGTTTTAAGTTTCAACTAAACAAATTCATACTTAATAGATATATAAGAACTCCATACATACTTTATAAGTTTTCAACAAAGCGATAAGTCTCAAAATCATAATTGCGTTATGATAATATAGATAGCACCATAACTTTAATCTTATTAAATTCTTTATCGAAACTTCAATTCAATATTTCTCTTCTTAATCTAATTGGCTCATTACGGGATGCCAATAAATCAAATTATTACATTTTTAATACCATTTTTAAGTACTCATGGGCCATGGCCTAGTGAAAAAAGCACACGAAACGGTCAATCGTAGCAAATGCAGACGCATCGAAGTAGCCACGTTTCAAATTGGTATTTCAATAATATGTTAATTTTAAAAATTCTTCAACGATCGTATGCTAGTCGAATTCATAAATTGTCTACGTCATCTCGAGACTCGTCGCGAAAATTACATTATAGACATATCGAATGGTCCAAAAGGATATCGAAAATAGATAAATATGCGTCAAATGTACATCTTAAAAAGAGGCGTAACTCTTCAAATGGGCTATTTTGATGCGCCTACGATTTGTGATAGGACAAAAAATAAGTAGCCTTTAATCACCATAAAATCTCCCACACACTTACCTGTAATCTCATTGAGCTTCCAATATGCAATAAAAAAGATATATAAACACAATACTATGAAGTCAAAATGTTTGCATTCGTTACTAGACACCAAATTGGGGTGCCCAATCGCAACCAATATTGTGCCACTTTCCCTGTTTGTTTTAGAAACTTAATTTTTTTTAAGATTCTAAGCACGATTTTGAGACTTTTGAAGACCTATACAAAATTAGAAAATCCTCACATTGGATGGGGGAGACGTTATACGAAAAATCTTTGAAGCCTGTTAGGAATTAGTACAGCAATGCAGACACCAAAGTCACAGTTCACCAGAGTTCATAAGGCTCTAATACATAGCATAACAGAGTTCTAACAATACTCTAGAAATGAGAATGACAGAGTTTAAACTACCCAGCAGAATGCAATCAGCATTTGCATAAACATAGCAGCCTCAGCATAAAGAAATCAACAGGAAATGGAAACCATAGAAACTGAAAATGCAGAACATAACGAGACAGAAAACAAGGCTTAAAACTAGCAGAACTTTACTTCCCTATTTCAGGTCGTTCTTCCCTTCTTTTGGTCGAACCAGTTGGCTCAGGAACAGCATTCCACGCTTGCAAATCGCCGTCCAGAGAGAGCTTAGAGAATCGGCAGAACCTCCCCTTCAATTGGCTTGAATCATCGATCAAGTGATCTCCCAAAATAGCCAAGAATACGCCCTTAAATCTGACCTAAAGCCCCAGAGAAACACATGCCCCTTAGCCACTATTTCAGGCCTAAGATTACACAGGAGTTTCTTCAATCAATGGGCTAACTGGTCGATTTCAAGGGCCAAGAGAAAACGGGAAGAAGACAGGGACAAAGGGAGAGTAGACCGAGAGACGAGAGACATGAAGTGTCTCCAAGAAGAGATTCCACGTGAACATAAGGAAAGAGTCAGCCAAGAAAAATATCTAATACAAGATTCAATATAGCCATCCATATGATCAAATGGTCAAAATGAAACCAAAGTAGCACACGATCAGGAACAATGCCAAGTTACCAATAGGTGAGTGACACTTAGGCAACTAAGGCCCAAATAAAAAGTCACAATAGAAACCGGCCCGATAAGTGTTAGAGGACCACATAAGCCGACAAAGCCAAATTTACAAGATTATAGACATTGAAGAAAAATAATTTGGGTTCCCTTGTAGTCATAGCAAGGAGGAGAGGGAGTCAACATCCATGGAAGAGATAAGTGATTGAAAATTTATTATTTTTTGAAATTACGATGATGTATTCTCATCCAAGTACGTGTTCTTGCAATTCAACCATTTTCTTTTGTTTAGTTATTATTCTCTTATTAATTTTGAATCATTGATACTTGATTACCATTAGAAGACGGTTGTGATTTATATTGTTTTCAAAATATTCAATATAAATTAACATATGATAACAAAAAAGACCAAGTTTTATAGGATATAAATATACTTCTATGCTTAGTGCAATCTTAAATTGATATACTCATTTTGTCTTGTGTTTACCTATACACATCCTTCATAAAAATATAGTTAAATAATAGATAAAAATTGAATCAATTAATCTCAAGAGAGAAAATCAGCACGTAAAATTACCGAATTGTCCAACTAAAATTAAGAATTGATTATAAACAAGTAATTCAAGATTAAAGTAGCCCTTATTTGATAGTCATTATTGAGAAAAACTGGCGTTTTAAATAATTATTTTTGGTAAATGTATAGTTAAAAAGCAAGAATTTTTCTTTTGATTAAATGCAAAATAATTTATTTTGCGAATGTATAATTGAAAATAAGTACGAAATTTTTTTTTAAAAATTGTTTCAAATGGAGACAACCGGGAGCTAAATTAACAACCGTGGATTCAAGATCCTAGTGGCTTCTGTGATTTGATTAAACCTATCTGGAATTTGTCAAAATCAGATATCACGTTACATAACAACTACCTAAACTGACGAGACTGAAAGTCCAGAATTTTATTTCTACTATTAGTTAAACAGATACAAGATTCTATCAAATGTCACGGAGCCTACTCTATCACGAATAAAAACATAGAAGCTCGTTACAGCATATCAAATGGAGAATGTGAATAGCTGTTTGATTGTTCCGAAAGGGGAAGAATACCGTTAACAGATAGTCTCATTTCTCCTCATCCTCGGAATCTGACTCGGCAAAAACTGTTTCGGGCTGTGTGTCTGCATATGCTGGAGCAATATACTTCGGATCTTTTGCAGCAACATCAGCATACTTGAGAATAGCTTCTCTGGGATCTTCTTCCATCCACGTCTCCTTAATCAAACCACCTTGCTGAAAATATAACGCAAAATGTAAGATATGTTTCTCAAAAGGGCTTGTTTCTGTTTAACGGCAAGTGACATTACCTTAAGAAGGTATTGGGTTAGTAAGCTTCCCTTGGTTGTACCAACTCTACCACCAAAACCTGGCCCATTCATGGGAAGTTCGGGCTTATGAGACTTAAGTGGATCCTTCAACATTTTCTCACGCTGACGTTTACGGCTTGGCTGATCTCTAAACATGGGAAGTGCATGAGGGTTCTGAATTACAGGCTGTGCTTGAAAATCATCAACAGACTTTTTCCGTGGTGCACGTTCAACACAAACAAGAGCTCCTCTATCACTAACTGTCGGATCATAGAGTACGTGAGTGCCTCCTTCATGTTTATCCCCAGCAGTGGCTAAGATCTACAGTGTCAAAGTCCAAGAAGTTTAGCCAGGAGAGACAGATTTTGGCAGACAGGTTTGTTCAAACTAGAAAGTTGAAAAAAATAGAAGAGGAAAATTGTCCAAATCTGTTGCTTAATGTTTCAAAAGCTGGCCAGGGCATTGACAAGGAAAAAGGTAGGGGTCAAGAGTCAAACCAGGGGTACAAAAATAAAAATAAAAATAAAACAAAAATTTGAGGTGAACTGGCTGATTCCTCGTTTTACAGTTTCTGACTCCGGTTTTTTGCATGGAACCAGAACGGTTCCTGGTATTTAAGGTCCAATTGTCAGGTTTTACAACATTGGTCTTAATTACCTTACCCGTAATGTACACTAAATTTTTAATTCTCCCCATACAAACGACAAAAAAATGATAACAAATAGAACTGCTGGTGAAGTATTTTTTGGGCAAAACAAAAATCTGTTACCTGATTCAGCCTTGGGTGCCAAGCACACTGAACAACACTACATGTAGGAGATATTCCAACAGTTGAAACAAGTTCCAGTTTCTGTCTGTCAAAAAAACATAGCAGACCCCCTGTTGTGCTATCCCTTTCAACAGATGTTCCACTCAAGAAGAGTTGTTCATCGGGACTGAATGCAATATTTGTCTGAGCATAATTATTCGGAAGATCATCAAACACCCGAAGAGACTCCTTCATTTTACGCACATCCCAGACCTAGATATATTGCAGTATTTAACAATAAAGAAAAGAAAAGAAAAGAGAATATAGAGAAGGTTTGACAATGTATTACAGGAATACCTTCAGCGAACCATCAAAGCTTCTTGACAATAGTATTTGTCCATCACTGGAAAACTTAAGTCCAGTGATATCATCAGAATGACCATTGGCAACAGATATGTCTGGCCTACTTCCCCATCCAGCTTTAATACTCCATATCTGTAATAAGAACATAAAGCACTTTAACAAAACAGTGATGAAAGGACAAAGACCAAGTCTTCAAACAAGGTAGCTATAAGTATATAAATCAACCAAAGATCTCATTCACTTTCCACATATCCTTAGTTGACTACATCAATAAAGTTGGCAAAAGATACCTGTATAGAACCATCCCCAATGCCACCTGCAATTTTTTTTCCTTCACAATCCCAAGTACATGTGGTTACAGGAACTCTTCCTGGCCTAGCAAGTTTAGGTTTAATAACCTATAAAAAGAGTGAGACAGTTAAAGTATGTAGTTAAAAACTTAATACTTTCAAATAAATCATGACTGGTGGTGCAATCACATGCTCGTGTAGTTGCAACACAAATCTTTCTAGTGTTAGATGTTCAAATGAGCACTAAGGTGACTCTTTTCCCCACCACCACCACCCGTTTCCCCAGGGGGTGGAAACCCCATCAAGAAGAGCCAAACAGATACCAAGGTAAAGATGTAAATAGCAGGATATAGAAGATGGAAGCTAAAGGAAGGGACAAAGAGATTGAAGACAGGAGATAAGACCCATATACCATTAAATATTATGCCACTACATCCTTTCTTCTCAGAGCATCAGACTGAGCTATAAAATGCAGTTACAGTCTCATAACATGAGTCTAAAAATTTAGCTATTGTTTAAGCCCCATTTTGGGGGAAAAAAATGAGTTTTGAAATAGCGAGTTTTTTTGGAGAATGTGTAGTTAAAAAATAAGAAAAAAATTTCGATGTACACATAAAATTATTTTATTAGAGACCGTGTGGTTGAAAATGAGTTATTGAAAAAATGGGGCTCAAATAAGGGCTTATTTGTGCATGTACAAAGTCATCAAATGGGTACGCTGCACCAACAAGAATGACAATTGTAGAACTTCTTCAGACCTTGAAAACACACACTGCGTTCACACAGAACTCCCATTTCATCAACCTCTCCAACTTCATACATGCACAGAAATTCAATTGCCATTTACCCCAACTAGTGAAACTCAACACGTCGAATCTGATATTTCAAAGTATCGCTACAAACATCAGTACTCTGGAAAAACTTGGAAAACCAATATTCTACGAAATTGTTTATAGCTTTCGGTGGCTGCTAAATTTGCATTGGCTCAGTTACTCCAAGTTAAAGTTCATGTCACAAATTCCTCAAGAAGGAAAAAACAGACTGTGGTACGAAACACTGACCTGTTTCTGACTTTTAAAGTCATTTACATCCCATATTCTCAGTGAACCATCTTCAGATGATGTCAAGATTGTCTCCTTGGACTTAGGGTGCCACTCTCCACAAGTCAATCCAGATATGTGGCCTTTTGTATTCTTAAGATCCCTTATATACATGTCCCCCTTGACAAACTCACCCAATGTAAGTCCATCACGGTCATAGATCTGCAATAAAACAACATAAAGATCAGTTCGACCTAAACATGTTATAGGCATCAAACTAGATATAAAACATGGAGTATCATTGCAGAAGCACCTTAGCCTGAGCAGAGCCAGTCACACACAAAAATCGATCAGAGGTAGGACTCCAACTCAAACCACGAATTTGATGACCTTCAAATGGTTCAAGCTGTCTGAATGACTGTAAACGAGCATTCATTCCTTGAAAATCATACATGCGGACTGTATAGTCATAGCTGCCAGAAAGTACTCTAGATCCTGTGTGATCCACCGCAAGAGCAGAAACCACCTTCCAAGAGTATCACCAAGAAGTTCAGTCACAAGACTATATCAATACCCAGAAAGGATAAATTGCTGTGGATAAACATTAGATTCCATACCACGCAGATACATAATAATCCCTCCGTCCCACAATAATAGGCTTGCTTCTATTTTTACACAGATTAAGAAAATGTAACTAATGTAGTTGGAAATAAATACCCCCACGTTAACTAATAGTTTAAATAGGTGTAGTTCATATTTGTAGATAACAAAACACGTTAAATAGGTACATATTAGTAAACTAAAAAAATCATCTATACTCTCAACGAGGAAAGTGGCATCGGATGAAAAAGGGAAGCAAGCCTATCTTTATAAGACAGAGGGGGTATATACTTTGAGTTTACATTTCATTAGAATTTTAAGACAATGAAAATTTCAAATAATTATCCAACAGCGTATGCCATTCCAAAGCAATATATCAACCCACTATCAAGTTGTTAAATTGCAATTCAATAACACCAAATTGTAATATCCAGATTGGTATTTCCAGATAGCACCTCCATATTCTGTTGAGTAGATATCAATAATGGATTTTGAGAGCTATCCTGGAATGCAAATTTCTGAACCTATTGTAGAAAGCTGTATGCATGTAAAATTGGATGAACTTCGGGGAAACAAATTGAGAGAGATGTAGGTAAGATAAAATAACGAGGGCAAATAAGTAGCCCATAGAAGATCGCCCTTGCAAACAAAAAATGAACACTAAAGCACCTAGAAAGCTTCTTTTTTTTTTTCCCACATATTTGACGCAGTAAGTGAGATTATAGACTGTAACATAGAAAAAAAAAGAATTTTTTTGCCGACAAACGAAACCACAAATTATCTATATGATCCATTGCAATATAATCTCATTCACATACAAGTGCACAAAATCCAAAAGCTTTCAATGACGCTGCATAGAAAAGTTAAAATTCCTAAACTCTAAACTCATAATCATGGTAATTAATATATGTTAAGCTCACCTAAACATTAATATTCTGAAGGACCAAGTAAACACTGATTTAACCTGAAATTATACCTTGGTATGCCCCTTCAACACAATCTCATTGCTCATGGGTATTCGATACCGATCATCCTCGGGTTCTCCATCCATATCATCGTCCGAGTCTGACTCTGCTGGGTCCGGTGGTGGCCGAGGTGGTCCAATGATCGGCTCATCATCCTCCTCATTTCCACCGAGCGGCCTAGGAGGTCCAATCATTGCTCCATCATCATCATCATCCTCCTCCTTCTCAGCACTCTCAGGAGGAGGCCTGGGGGGTCCAATCAGTGCATCATTCTCATCGACTGGTGGCCGAGGTGGCCCCACCAACTCATCCTCCTTGGCAATGTTCTTTGAATTTTCATTAATTCCAAAGCTAGATCTAGGGTTACGCTTAGGGTTTTTGAGGGAGTCCAGCCAAGATCTAGAGGAACTAGAGATAGAAGGCAAGTCGTTGGTTTTGTTATTCGAAATAGACGAGGATGGATTTTCGCTGGCCACGGCGGAGGCGGGGCGGCGCGTGGCATTGTGAATGGATTCGATAGGGGTTTGGGATTTCGATTGCTTACCAAAAGCTAATGGAAACTGCGCCCTAATTCCGTCATATATCTCAGCTTCATCCTCCATCTCACTATCGATGATATATATTCGTGTATGTATCTGTATGTATATATATGTGTATGTATAGACGATGAAATATATTCTAACCGATAGATTTTAATTCTGAAGCGATTTATAGGCAATGCTCTACCGCCTAATTGGATCCAATTCTTACTGTTAATAATATTGGGCCAATTGGTGAGTTGTGTGCGAACGTAATTTTTAGACGAAATGCTAGCTACATTATTGCATGGATCCAACAACGATGTACTCCTCACCGAGTTATCCTTCAGTGTATAGCGCTAAGACTATCCGTGGTTGGTTCGGTTCGATTCTGAAGAGAACCGAACAGACCCAAAACTTTCGGATATTTAATAAATGAAACCATCGGGTCTAAATATAATTTTGGAACCTAGGGTTGTCCGTGGGTCGGTTCAGAATCGAACCGATCCAAAACTTTCGGTATTTAATAAATGAAACTGTCGAGCCCAAATATAATTATGGAACCGTTCGGGTTCAATTCCGTTCCGTTTCGTTCGGTTCCGTATTATAATTAAATTTTTTAATATTGACAGCAACACTACATAAATCAACTAATGACATTTCATTCGTAACTTTTATAAATTAACGTAGCCCAATTCAAAATCATATAAATAACTAGCCGTCCAATGAAATTAATTCAATGCATACAAATACCAAAAAATAGATATTAATATTACAACAACGCTACATAAAGTAAATTCATTTGCTTCAAGCAGCCTAACTGCATAAAGAAAATGAAATATAAATTAAAAATTATAAAAATAAAATAATTTAATTAATTCAATATAAAAAATAAAAAAATTATTTATTTTCGGTTCTTGGTCTATACCCGAAACCCGACCCAAACACATCGGTTCTCGATTCGGGTACCCGTTCGGGTATTTAACTTATGAAGAACCGCTCGATTCGGTTCAGGTTCGGTTCGGTCCGAAACTTTTGGACACCCCTAATGGAACCGTTCGGGTTCGGTTCCGTACCAAAATTAAATTTTTTAATATTTACAACAACACTATATAAATACAACTAATGATATTTCATAATAGAACCGTTTGGGTTCGGTTCAATTCGGTTCCGTACCATAATTAATTTTTTTAATATTTAAAAAAATACTACATAAATACAACTATTGACATTTCATTCGTAACTTTTACAAATTAACGTAGCCCAATTCAAAAACATATAAATAATTAGCCGTCTAATAAGATTAATTTTATCTAATTTGAAGATTAAATTTAATGAACAAATTCGAATAATTTATTTAATTAATTTGCTATTTTATTTTAAAAAAATAAAATAATTTAATTAATTCAATATAAAAAATAAAAAAAAGTTATTTAGTTTCGATTTTTCGATTCTTGGTCTAGGTCCGAGACCCGATCCAAACTCATTGGTTCTCGATTCGGGTACCCGTTCGGATATGTAACTTATGAATAACCGCTCAATTCAGTTTCGATTTTGTTCGGGTTCGGTTCGGACACCCCTATATAGCGCGCCACACCAGCCCATTTCCTTCCCTACCCACTAAAATACCCGAGGCTCGAGGGCGAGCTTTATTTATTTAAGAGAGAATGGGAAGTGAATCGAAACTGAAGAAGTGGGTTAGCTTGAAAGAGTCTTGGTCGATCATCTTGTTCCAATCGGTCTTATTCTGCATCAAAACCCACTTGCCCTACTTCTGTAAGCCCAACCTCTCCACCACAGAGTCAACACCTCTACCAATAAGGAATCAAGTCAAGTAATCGGTTGAACGTGAAATGTCTAGTATTTATCGTTTACAGTTAGAAGTATTGAGGTATCAAATTTCATTTCCTTCTCTAGCTTTCCTCTCTCAGTGTGCTTTCGTCATTAATATTCTTTTTCATCTCTACGCGTTTTACCGCTCATTTTCTTCCACTATCATACACTAGCTTGTTATTTTTTTATCACATGTCTGGGTTGGCCACTGAAGGTCAATTTTGTTAAGAGATGAATTCCACATTGAATACATATGAAATAACAAATCAACTTATAAGAGTTTGGACTACTACTTTTAATGAAATTGACATTTTAAGATGAAATTTCAAATCTTAATATTGTATCAGAGCCATTAAACTTCAACGAACAATTTGATTCGATTAAAAAGTTGAAAAAAAAATGAGCATACAAGTTTTAAGATTGTTCTGCTCGAACGAATCATCATCTTGTGGGGTATGTTGAAGCATAAATCTCACATTAAACAAAAATAAAGCATAGATCAACTTATAAGAACTTAAAACTATTCTCCTTAAAAAAGTGATCTTTTAAGATTCGACCACATATCTTGATAGACTCGTTGATCAAACGATCAGATTTAGATCTGTCCATCAACCCGGCCATAATGTAACAACCCGAGTTCAACCCATGTTAGCTTGATTTCTTTCTTAGCTGAAATTAGCTAAGGAAAATAAAGTAGCCCACGAGCCAGATCTAGTAGCAAAGCAAAGTCTCTCTATTCGCCTGATCAAATTTCGAACTCTGCTCAATCCAAAAACCCAATTTCTCCATTCATTAAACACTTTTCTCCCGTTTCACAATTTACCAACAAAAAAAAATAAATTTAACTTGAGCGTATAATGTAACTGGGTTTTGTTGAATTATACAGGGAATGTGATTTGAAGCCAATAGATGCAGAACAACTCAGTGAGTGTGCTCACAAGATGGTAGACTTCATTGCTAATTACTATAAGAATATTGAAAATCTCCCAATTCTTAGCCAAGTTCAGGTTTTAGACTATAACTCTTTTATATTTTTACTTATTTTCTCCGTAGGGATTCAAATTCAATATACTTGCTCTAAATTTTGTCCCTGATATTCAATTTTGCTAGTACATTAGAAGCGATGTGGTTCTTGGACTTTTTTTTGGTTGCTGAAGGATTAAATTATATTTCAAAACAAATACTTACATATAGGTTTTTAAGTAAATGTTCGAGTAAATCAATAATCATGGAGAAATGTTGTTGGGAATGTAAGTGTCATGTCATAAATCCAATCAACTTTAGACATAAACACTTTTAATAACTAGTTGATGCATATTTATGGCAATGTCTATTATTTAATTGAATTAATATTCTAATAAATTATATAATAGAATCTGTAGATTTAAGCCTTTGTAATTTGTTAATCACAATGTGTTGTGATTGTGATATACAAATTACAATATGACTGAATCTTAAATTATCCATGGTCGAAGTGATAACTAGACACGGATATCGTTATTACGGATAGACAATCGCGTGAATATGACTGAATCTTAAATCGTCCTCGATCATAAATAATAACGAGATATAGATATCGTTATTATGGATAGACCATCACGTGTGGTGTTATGCCTCGCCTCAGAGGCTTAAAGTAAAAACGCCACGAGGCAAGTCACGTAAGCAGAAAGTCAAATAAAGACTCATGAGGTCAAAATATAAGAAATCAAGCAAAACCGGAGTCCTTGCACTACAAAATCGATGTTCATGCTGAAGCACTGCCTTAAGAACGAAGCACTCCAACTTAGGTTGAAACACCGCCTAAGGAAATAAAGAAATGAGCTAAAGCTCTCCACTTAGAGAACCACCTTAAAAATCACTCCGAGGCTCTCAAGCTCATCCAAATCCTATGAAGCCGATGTCGTTTCTTGTAATAAATTCAAAGATTTCTTAGAAGTAATTGATGTAACACTTGTAATAAATTTTGTTAGTGTGTCAGCCTATTATATAGAACCGCTGTCCCTTTATTAATGTATTAATTATATGAATAGACAATGATGTGAAGCCTAAATTAGGGAAATGAAGCCACGTAGTTCTGATCCTACGGTTACCACGTCGGTTAAGGCAATATAAATAGGTTCTCTTTGTAACTAAGAAGGGAACGAGAATTTGGACAAATATATATTAGAAATACACACTTGAACTCTTAAGAATTTTATTTGATTGAAGATTTCTCGTTTTTCGCCCTACATGTTCTTCACAAAAATTTCAACATACAACATAGAAACTTCAATACACATTGTATCTATCCTTCCACATACTCTTATTATATAGATCGATTTGATTTTTGTCCAGTAATCGTTAGCGCGATTACTTTCGTTTCACCTGTCGGAACTTAAATAATTTTGTCTCTTACTGCAAGTACTTTTCGCGTCCATTTCCTCCTTGCTACCGTCGTTATTCCGGTAAGAATGCATAGGAATCGTACTTGACTTAGCATGAGTGGGCCCGACATCTGTTGGCTCATTTTATGGGGTCAACAGATTGGCGCCGTCTGTGGGAAATCTTACATTTAACCACGAAAACACCTGTGGGAGAAAGCCAGCTTGAAAATTTTTGGGCAAGAAGAGTTCCAACCCTCGAAAAAGGAAAGTTCTTGAAGAAAGAACCGATGGAAAGTCCATAAAGCCAATACTTATTTGATCCTTATAAGAAAGGAGAATTTGGTTAAGAAAAGTGTTTTGTGAAATATGAGTTCGAGTGATGATGAAAGTGCACCTCGTCGGACGAGGGAACACTCTGAAGAATGGGGACCCTCAAGAACTACCCCAGTTGCTCGCCCACGACCCCCACAGCATAGACGAGGTGGGTCTAGAGACGGAGGTAGGGTAGCAGCTAGACTCACTAGAGAAATGGTCACATGGCCGCCAGCATGAGAAGTTTAACTCATCAGAACATGGTCATGCATGATATGCTAATAAACATGCAGGGTCGAGGAGGGTACCTAATTCCTCCGTACGCAGCTCCTGAAAATGCATTCCATGACCCTCAAGGATACTACCATGATGAAGAAGAAGAAAAAAAAAGTCCAAAGCCAAATGGGTGGATACCATCACCCAAGGGTGGAAACTCCCTAGAAAAGGAAGGTTGAGGTTGATACGTCAACCTAGGGATGACAAAAAAGCTCGAGCAGCTCGGGCTTGGCCAGGAAAAAGCTCGAGTCAGGCCCGGCTCTGGCCGAACCCCATTTTTGGGCATCGGCCCTAATGGGG